ATATATATATATATATATATATATATATATATATATATATATATATATATACCGGCTTGTAGAAAAGTATGGTGCCAACGCCACAACAATAATAACAATATCAATAACATGGGGCAAGTTGAACAGTTAAAATAGAAAATGGTAGGTAACTGGGATAACAAATTATTTTGTAGTAGCACTCTACATTTTGAAGATGCAAAACGGATATCGAATATGGTTACCCTGGCACTCAAGCTATCCAGAAAAGCTTGCAACTTACCTGGATCATCTCCTAGTAGTACAATGTTGTCTGCATACTCTAGATCAGACAGTCTGCCACCTAGAAGTAAATCGATGCCACTATCCTCGCACAAGGACAAGGCTGTTTCCATAATCAAATCTAGAACAAAGTTATGTAGAGAAGGAGAGAGATGGCAACCTTGTCGAACACCACTGTCTGTGATGAAGTCGGGTGAAAAATTGCGGTAAACTCGGCCTGGACTTCGGTTATTAGTATAAAGGGATCGTAATATCGAAATAAACTTCTCGGGAACAACCTTCGGGGAGAGGCAGCGCGAGAGTTTAGAGCGGTCGACTGAGTCGAAAGCTGCTTTCGGATCTTATAAAACAGAGATAGTGGGTCCATGAAAAGAATGTCGGTGCTCCAGAGTTTTGCGAAGAGTGAAGATATGGTGGGTAAAACCTTGGACAGGTCTAAAACCAGCCTGGTTCCCACGCGTGCACTCTTCACCTGCGGTGGTCAGTTGACGGAGTATGATACCAGCGAGAAGTTTAGAGGCAATTCCGACCACAATAATTCATGTCATTTTCGCAAGAGGACCTGTCACCTTTCTTGTAAATTGGTACGATGACCGATTCACACAATTCAGTGGAAACCTGTTCCGTCTCCCACAATGAGCCCAGGAGTTTTGTCAACTCCAAAACTGTGGTGATTCAGGCCTACACGATGGCGCCTACCCTGGAGCGGCGCGTTACAGTTTCAGGATATTCGCGATCAATCAAGTTTGAATGCTGACCTCAATAATACGTGCATGGCTTCTGAATACACGTCATTGGCGGATGGTGCCAGCCAATCCTAGACAATGCAGACAGAAGCAAGATTATGCAAGCAGTGCTGCAATCCAATTGGTGGAAGCCCAGGTAGCCAATAATCTCCCTTTGTACATATTATTTAATCACCTTCATTTCTTCAAATACACGAATTACTTACTGCCTGTCCTCTGGCCTTTTTCTCGCGTCTCGTTCTCGTGGGACATTGCTTTTGCGATCCAGTCCGTGATAGCTCGTTATCGATTCGGGTCCTGTGATTCATATTGCGTGATTGGTGTTCCGAAATCCATGCTTAATACTACTAATACTACTACTACAATCATTACAAAAACCTAAGCTTGACCTCCGTCCTTAAAAGTCGATGGGAACGGCGCATCTGGGCGGGAGACCTAATACCTTTCGAGATAAATTATTGCCCCAGTAACCTCTAGTTCAGATGGAGGATTGGCATCCTGTAGTACTTCTAGTATGCACTGATCATGAAATAAGAATCACTGATTAGAATAAACGGACGCACAACAGTATCCCACGTAACCGAGACGCAAGGAAAAGGTCAAAAGAGTATTAGTTGTCCAGGAATATTTCCAACTCTGAAATTGTTTTTGGACTTGCAGAAGCATTGGCGCTCTTCACCGATTTCACCAAATTTTCCGCTGCACCGTTGGAGCAGGGATGACTGGGTGTTGTGTGCAGCTGTCGGCAACCATTACTGTCCAGCCACGTTTTCAACTTCGTAGCGCAGAACTGCGATTCCTTATCGGTCACCACCACTTGTGAAAAGCGTTCTCGACTGAAGCACTTTCGTAGAACCGGTATCACAAACGATGTACTCGACATACTGGTTAGAATCACCGGTCAATTTGCTTACGAGTCGATGAGTACCAGTGCGTAATAATGACCGAAGAAAGGCCCACGGTAGTCGTCATGCACGCGTTGCCAATGCACATAGCTTTCTGGTCATGTTGTCCAATTCTTTGGTTTTGACATCTACTTGTGTAGACAGGCTTCGCAGTTATCAGCAGTTCGACCAATATATTCATCTAGGTCGGACTACAAGCACATCTGTCGTGCCAACGACTTAATCTTCTCCACCCCTAAGTAACCCTTGTGCAGATCGTCTAGCACTGCTTCACGTAATAGAGGTGGGATGATCAGCTGATCGTCGCGGCATAGTATCCCATCAGGTTGTACACCGATTTCTTTCCGATGAGCGTAGAGTGGTAGGAACCTCCATTTTAGGTCTGGACGCCAGCCTTTCGATGCGGCTGTTATGATGTATACGTAAAATCTCTTGGTGAACGTACGCAACTCCTCTCGTAATACCGGGGCTGCTGCAGCAATGAAATGGCTTCTATTGACCACCGAGAAAAAATCGGATTTAGGAATCGTTTTGCGTGGACGATGTACTATGTCCTAGTCGTAGGCAGCCAGTGCAATGCCCCATCGCTGAATTATCGCCCTTGTCGGTTTGGAAATAGACTTCTGTGGACTAAACAGGTACTGCAGTGCTTAGTGATTGGTCACGATGGTGAGACGCAGTCCAAACACGTATTTGTGTA